CCTCAATGCACAGATGAGTATGAACACGCTGAGCAACCCACATTGCCCAACTCCAACCCATGGGAATGACCCTGAGCATTGGGAAAGTCCAGCCTTCGGCATCGCAGTCAACCGTAGCCAAATCCATGCCCCAATCCTGCAAGGCCGACTTGGCAAGGGCCGGAAGACAAAACAAACTCTGTAGTTCTTGAGGCAAAGCCAGGCTGTAAAAATAGTCCTTGATGTCGGATTGAGCCAAATACAAAGTGGAGCCTTCTGGAATAGCAACCTGTGCCCAAGAGGTACCAGCACCCAAAGCTAGCGGCGGAGGTTTCTTGAAGCGTTTGTTCACAGCTCGACAATCAAGAATGAGGCGTAGTCGACCATTCTTCTTTTTGACGAAAAAAGGAGGAGCTATTTCACGTGGCCTCGAGGTGAATGAAATCATCCCCTTTGCGTGCAGATCCTGAACGAAAGAAACGTATAGCTCTTGATCTTTCTGCAACCTTTCATCCATGTAAGGTCTCACCAGGTCTCCCTCTTCCAACACCTGTCCCCACTCCTCCTCGGAAAGAAGCATACTGCATTGAGGATCACCGAGTACTTGTCGTCCATGTTCGTCGAGGACCTGGTCCAAGGCTATCGGACAATCTCCCGTGTCGGGTAGGGAAACAAGTTCACGGTCATAGGGGCGCACCGTGCTGACAAAATCCTCCTGACCATAGGAGGAGTCACATTGCAGAAGCTCTTGAACAGCCTCACGCATACTGCATTGTTTCCGAGCCCTTGGCATACGGGCTAATTGCTGATAAATTGCATGCTGACCAGCCCTCTGTGCTTCACTGACCCTAGTGTCACAAACATCGGACGAGGTGGCATACATCTCATTCAAACTGTCAATTACACGATTTGACTCCTCAACCAAACCACGGACCTTGGCCTTCCTTCGTCTCGAAGAAGTCGAAAGCCCATAGCCTGAGCCGGGAGAGACCGAGTGCGGCAGTGGAAAAAGCTCACGCCATCGTTCTTCTCGATTGATGTCATTGAGCTCACGGCCATGGGAAGGATCGAATTCGACCACAGCAGAACATGCAGGATGAGGTGGCACCCCTGCTGTCAAAGCGCCACCAGAACTTCTTCTCATTTCTGATCACCGCCGCCTCCCCCCTTCTTGTCTCCGGGGTTTCGACGGCGTGCTTGGGCCTCTTCCTTAGCCTTGCGGCTTTCCTTGAGGATCATGGCTTCGGACTTCAATTCCGCTGCCACGTGATGAGCAAGGTCAGGATCCACACCATGCGCTCCCTTGCGATAGCGCCATCCCATGAAAAACTCAGCTGAACTGTAGTCCGGACTGGTTGGCGAAATACGATGAGCCTCACGAATCACCTGAAGCCGACGCACCAATAGCTCCACACCTTGAAGTCCACTGACGTTCAACTGGTCCACAGTGACGATCGACTCGAGGATTCGGGAGAGGACCTCATGCTCATAGGTTGATCGATCCCCCTTTGGAATCTCGGCACTGCGCAGCCAGAATTCATGGAATGAAGTCGGTGTCATAGCCTGATCTCGAAGGGCCTTCAGCACATTGAGTGCTGTGGCCGGTCCCTCAAGCTGCAATCCTCCACCTTGAGGAACACCCTCAACCATGGCAGCTACGGCCTGTGCAAACTCCCTCCTCCTGATACCCTGGGCATCAAAAGAAACCGGTAATACACGGAGGTCCTCAAGCTTGTAACTGCCAGCATCCGAGACTTTGACTCTTCTGCAAAAGCACCCAACTGCTGAACCATCCCGGGCTGGAACAATCGCCTTCTCTCCAATCAACACATGTCCAGCGGGAAGCAATGCTGGTTCTGTAACAACAATGTCACCTTTGCTGTAACCACCTGCTTGTTCAATGCAAACCCAACACATGCTAACCACTCCGGCTGGAGCCGCTACGGCCCCTGCTCCCACTGGGGGAGCTCCTGCGACCACAGCTCCTCCTCCTAGCACTCCTGGCAAAGGAGCGACTGCCGGTGGCGGAGGAACCACAGCCGCAGGTCCAGCAGCCATAGGAGCCAAAGGTGGAAGACCTCGGTTGAGCCTCTCAGCATTTGCTTCCATTCGACCTTGTTGAATGTGGTGTGCAAGCGTTCCAGGGTCCATGGGAGCGAACCCATACACCTCATGAGCAGGCACTCTTGCAGGAACAGTCGTTGATGCTCCCAGATAAATGAAATCTGTATAATCCGGATTGAGATGATCTAACTGCTCACTGTATCTGTCAAAGTCTGGCGTGAGGATCTGCCATTCATTGGCTTGTATGTGGCCAAGGAGGATGCGAACATGCCACACACTTGGATGTTCTCCGTAATGAACTAGAGCAACATGTCCACTTTCCATCTCAACCGGTCAGTGATAGGACCTTTCCGCTCACCCCGAAAACTCCCTTGCGCCCCTTGGGACTTGCAACTCCAGTGGTCTCCTTCTTCCAGAAAAACCAGGCAATCGCCAATCCCGAACCAATCACCAAGAAAATAGCCAGGGCAACAAAAGGGAATCCGCTACCTTCACTGACACACGAGCAGCCGCAATGGCAGATACACGGCCTTTCTTCGAGGATCGGCGGCTTCTCGAAAAAAGCTCGGAGCCCCCACCCTAGGATCAGAGCCCAAAGGTGTGAGGGAGCCAAGCCAGGGTCCATGGCACCGCCCCCCGTCCTGAGAAGATCTTGAGCGATCAGGTTGCGGCCAAATCGCTTCCGGCTTTACATTAAAGTGCAGGCACTAGACATATAATATTGTATCATTTTTGGTGCAACTTGCATTCACTATCGGGACCTACTCTTCAGGAGTGTTACTAAACATCACGGAGTGCCTTTTGATACCAACAAAAGAGCCTGAATCCTCCGAGCCCGGTTTGAAGCCTCATGGTCAAAATGTGGCACCTCTTGTTTCGGTGCCGACAGACCGAAACAGCCAGGCTCTGAGCCTGAAAACCTCCGGTTCCAACGGTTACATGAACGCGGTGGTTTGGGCGAAAGCTGCATCTCTATGGTTTTCGGGGTACATGTTAGTCTTTATGGGTCATTATACTTTGGGGATCGGTCCAAAGGCGGTCCCCCCTGTTGATCCATGAACATGATCTTCACCGAGGCGCAGGAGCCTGAAGTCCTTGGGATTCCCAGGCAGGGGAGCCTGAAGTCCCCCCATTCTCGGCCAATTCTCAGCTACTTTGGGCCATGGGAATGCTGAACCATGCAACAAACACATGGAACTGAACAATGAGAGTCCAAAGCCATATGCATAATATAGTTTCATAACCCTGAAGTTATATAGTCCAATTTTATTGGATTGTAACAACAATGCTGCACTTAAGATTGAACACATACATATCATAGTTTTAAAACAAAAGGATCTGTCTGAAGATCTGTTGAAACAAATAGAAGTGTTTGTCCTAAGGAAACACATTGAAATCACATGTCACCAGACTTCTACTGCGACGACGTCGCCCACGTCGCCGTCCCACCTCTGCCGCTCCAAGCCGGTCACTCCTGGCGCAGCGACGACCACACAGGGAGCGGCGAGGTCGTGGCCGTTGTGGTCGTTTTTGGGCGCAACGAGTGAACATCACACGTGAAATCATCGAGTTCATGGATTTGCACTCTATATGGTCACCTCTAAAGTGGACGTGACATCGATACTCCAAGCGTTTGACTGTAGAACTGTTCTATTTATGGGCTGGGTATTTACCAATTGCAACACTTCCAAAAAGGCTGAAGGTACAGTAGGGGAAACCAGTTCGTTTCACCCCAAATGGTCTCTCTATCTCTGGGACAAGTTTCCTGACATTTTGTTAGCAGGAAACCCCGCAAGAAGTTCCACTACTGTCCACTGCCCATCCAAAACCATGCTCGGTCAGGTTCCTTACCCAAGGCAGCACTTTCAAACCTGGTCCAATTGGCCAAACGGTTCAGGAAAGTAAACGGGTATACATGGAGAGGAACTAAGTCTAGTTCCACAATTCCACGAACTCGGAGTATCGCAAGCTGAATTGAATTAAATTTAATTGTCTAATTGCATAGAGTCAAGTAGACCCACCTAATGGCAGAAAGAAACCAAACGCATTACGGTGCAATCAAATTTGGGGTTCTTTCAAGATCGGAACCTTTGTCAATTCACTATTGAATAAATGTTGTCCGTTTTGTTGCGAATTGACTGGTTCCGGATCCAAACTACACGGACCCCAGGCTCTCTGAGTCCGTAAGAGAATGACATCATTACATGTCTTTGAAGGAAGGGGTTTCACCTAATCCACATGTCACATCGCCTGCGTTAAGATATCATCAATGGTCTCGGCATTTAGACATAAGCGGTCAAGACTTGACACCGTCTCCCATGTGAAGAAAAACAGTCTAGTTCCGTTACCCTGATGTCTTTTTCCCACATTCCTCACAAACGTTCGCAGAGCGCGAGGACCTTGATCCTTCGGTCGCCGACACCGCATCGAGACTCACCCGTCGGACGAAAGATTCGCCTCGCGGTGGCCCGTCGCCCTCGCGGTGACATTTGTTCAGGCTCGTCACTCCTCAAGCGCTGCAGGTCCGAAAGCTCGAGTATTGAGGTCATCTGAATATATATGTATTTATATATACAATATTCGTGACACCCAAATGAATGTAACAAAAACATTTTGTAATAGTGCAACATAATACTTATAGTGAAAATATATGTAAACCCAGAGTATTCAAAAACTATGAAAAGAGTAGAACACTATGAACGGCTAAACATTGATGTTACCCGCTTCCTATGTAACAAAATAAAATGTTAATGATATATACCAACAGTTCCAAAAAGAGTCTCTAGTCCTCTGGTGATAATGGGCACCCCTACCAATAAACACACCTTTGGAACTGCTGGTATACATGTTATTGTATGATGTAATATACCCTTATGTCGTACATGTCATGTGGTTTTCACCTCACGCACCACCAACCCAACAAGGCCGGCCTCTTCGCACCTGTTTTTTCCCATTAAATAAACACCCCAAAGGAAGCTGCATAAGCTTCGACCAAACGCTCGGGCAAGTAAGTAAGCGATGCTTGGAATAGCCGCCTAACCAAGAAACCCCAGTCCAAGATACTCAGCCATCGTCCATGTTTGCAGTTGTCAAGGTATTGGACCATTACACTCATGGAGCCTAGAAAGGTCTCCAAATGGTTCTGAGCCGCCGACCTGTATTTTGGCAATCCTCTCTTCCTGGCAATCAGGTCCTCGAGCACATCGATCACGTGGATCTTGTCCAACGCGCTGTCCGAGTTGTGGATCCTTATTGCCAGTGCCATGTTGCGGATTTCTCTGTTCACCGTCTCTATCAGCTCTTGTACCTTCTCCTTCGCGTTTCGACTGGTGAGTTTGTCAGAGGTGTGATAGAAGATCGAGCTGAAGATCGTGTAGTAACTCTCGAGGCGGGTAGCATAGACGTGATCTGACGGATCCGCGGCTTCACGCATGTTCATGCTCTCATTGGCCGACCCGGACAGGTTCCTCCATTGCTGGTAGGCAACCATAGTGTCATTGAGTCTGCCGCTGTTGATGAAGTCGCGGACGTCGTCCCATAAGTCATCGATCGCCCCAATCTCCTGAGGCTCCACAAGGTAGCGACAGTCCACACGGCGATGCAAAAACCAAATTCATGCACAGCAAAAGAGGATTGGTCCGGGGCGCAAATGCTCAGCAAAGTAAACAAGTGAAAGGAGTGTGGGATAAAGCATGCGTCTCGCCAAACTAAGGGAACCAGTGTGGTCCTAGGGAATGTCCGAGAGACTAGCTACACATGTTGACATCAACTGGTCATCCTACCAACATCTCTCCGGCCAAGATCGGTGACACCCATGTACAGGTGCTGCATGCACATATACACAAACAGGTTTTGCGTGCACAGCCAAGACCTTCAACGTCACTTGCTCGGACAGAGAAGAGCTTCAGACCGCAAGGAACGGTATAGATGCATGCAGCATGGTGCAAGACATCTAGCGCTCGCGCGATTGTCAGTTGGCAGTTTTCGCGCAGCGCAGGTGCGAGAGGCTAGCCTTAACAGGACCAAAACCCAGACAGCCTAAAGGCATAAACCTCAGTGGCGCTATGCAGCTGTCCGGGGCCGCTTCTATGGTCTTGGCTTGGGGACCAAGCCGAAAGATCCACAATCAGCTTCGCACAAGACAGCGGCTCTTCACGCAGCCGCAGCAAGGTCACCAGGCCGAGCTGGGATGGCCACAAGGATTAACAGGATCCGGAAGAAGCAGTCTCAGCCGCTGCTGCCCTGCTCGCAAGCGCTCCCACCATGGGCACAGCAGGCACAGCACTCTCGCCAGGCAAGCTGGCAATGCGCGGGCCCCTTTCCGGGCCGTGGTCAAGGCAGCTGACAAATGTCTGTCTGCAGACATTTTGAGCGCACAGGCTCAGAAGCAGCGCAAAAAGAGGAACCTCTTAAGCTTCAGTCGCTGCTCAGAAACGCAGGCCGTGTGGAACTGATGGACTTGGGATCGCCACACATAGTGCCATTGGAGCAAGCGGACCAGCTTTCTGCGATCCATGTGCGACGTCTGAGTTCACATCTGTCTTGGATCGGACTCTTGCAGCGGCTGTGCACATTTGTCCCTTCTCAGCAATTGAGAACCTATAGCGGCGCTGGTTGTGGCCCTGGGAGAGGAACAGTGACAATATGTTGGCTCTCCAACACATAAACTGGATGATGCCTCCAGCGAACAAGGAGGGATCTGGACTGTCCGTGGCAATGTCATCACACAGCTTCAGATGCGCCAGCTTCGCCAGCCTCCTGCTTGGCAGAAGTGAAGCTTAAGGATGGCGAATTGGAGGACGATGGCAAATTGGATGGCGTGCAAAGCCGATAGTTCCCTTCACAACCATCCAAGTGAACTGCAACAATACAACGCAGCCTCACACAGGCTCCAACAACGTGCCCACAAGCCACATCACGGCAGTGCGAGACCATCCTGGTGGCCAGTTCTTCCTGGAAGATGCGCAGGGGGAGACATGAAAGATTGGCCAACAACAGCCCAGAATATTCAAAATGCTTTTTGCCCGCATACACGAACGCATGCATGTATGCGTGCATCTAGCTGCATGTAGCAGGCAGGTGTGCTTGACCTGGCTGTCATACGCCATGAAGGCGCTACATTGCTCACCGACACATCTTGGCCGGGTCGACGATGAGCAATTGGCTTAAGCGCCAGCGGCAATCGATCTGCACAGTTTCCGGCAAAAGGGTGGCGTGACACATGAGGTCCAAAAGCAACGTCAGGTCTTCCCTGGCTCGCAGCTTCGAGCTGGTGCTGTAAGATGCAGCAGGATGCGTGTGGACGGGTTCATCTCTCATCTCACAGGCAAGCAACACCTGAAGAAGGTGAGAAAAATCGCTAGATGGACCACGGCAGTTCGCCGCATGTGGGTACAGAGAACTGCCTCTTAGCACGAGCTGCCGCTGGCACTGGCCGTTGAACTGAGCGACCCGAGAAGGAGGCCTTGCAACGGAGCTTCAAGACTCAAAGGTGGCTTCACAAGCGCTTATTGACGATGTGTTGAATGAACTTGCTCGCGAGGAGTACAAGTCACAAGTGCGTTGATCTAGATCAAAGGCGTCGCTGATCGAACCAAAACAACTGTGCCGTGTTCAATGTCTCAACTCCACTACTTCCTGGCGATCGACATCAAGATCAACTTGACAGGCGGGATGCCCAGCAGGATGTTCAGATCGCGGACACTACTTGTATTTGGATTGCCGTCGTGAATTTGGTCCTCTTATTCGGCATTGAGCGGCGCTCTTACAAGAATGAGTGGGTCTGAAAGAGGAGTCTTGTGCAAGACCGAAGATGGCTGGTGAAGCCAATCATTTGGTACTTCAGGCATTCAATGAATCGGCCTGCAGCTAGCAGGCAGGAGGCCGCCATCGATGCGAGGGTGCCACTGCCGCCTTGGGAAGCAGCACGCGCCATTCACAGCACAATTCACAGCACAGGCTCCAGTGCAACGGGACCGACCGCAAACAGATCTTTAAGTGGTCCTTCGATTAGGGTGCAGACCCAGCATTGGAAACCATCAACAGGACTGCAGATAAAGTCAATGGTGCTCAAACCAAAGCAGTTGACAATGAACTGCAGTTGCTTTCGAGAAGTGAATGGTACAGAGACTTGCACCAAAACTCAGGTCCAAAACTGACCCAAGCATACATGCCCGCGAACTCTTGAGCGACGAAACAACATAGGTGAAAAAACTTGTCGACGTTCTCCTGAGTCTTGCGAAGATGCCACCTGTCGACCCTATCCGACTTGAACACCAATTTGCTGGGATCAAGTCCGGTGATCCCAAGTTCTTCAAGCACTGCAAATATCTTCTCCCAAAACTCATCAACAAAATCTGGCATTTCCAAAATGTATGACTTCAAACTTGTAATTAAAATAAACTCATCGGCTGGCATCTGGTTTGTGCTATTATGGTGTCCAGCGAGCACACTGCAACTAGTCCGTATGTGCACGTTGAGGTCTGGTAGTACCCACGACGATCTGATGCTTGCTGTTGGGGTCCGATAGTCAAGCCCAAAAAGGCAGACATGCAGATTGACACAACATTCTGACACTTGTGCTAGGCCTAAATTCTGGCTTGTGCTCAAAGGAGGGTGTCCAGTATGCCTGGTTGAGGTCTGGTAGTGCTGACTGCCATCTGATGCTTGCTGTTGAGGTCCGATAGTCAAGCCCACAAAGGGACATGCGGATTGACACAACATTCTGACTATAAGGCCTAAATTGCAGATCTGGCTTGTGCTCAAAGCAGGGTGTCCAGTGTGCCTGGTTGAGGTTTGGTAGTGCCGACTGCGATCTGGTGGTTGCTGTTGAGGTCCGATAGTCAAGCCCACGCAGACATGCAGATTGACACAACATTCTGACGACTAGGCCTTAATTCTAGCTAGCTGGTTTGTGCTCGAAGCAGGGTGTCCAGGAGCACATAACATACAAGACTTCTTTCTCAAATCTTCAGAGATGATTCAAACAAATCAAACCCACACACCAAAGAGGAAAAGCAGCCTTGCGCCTTGTTTGTTGATTCTTGTTCTGGATGTCCCTGCAGGTGACCACCATTGGCTCATGCCATCAATGGTCAATTGTCACCATATGGCAGCAATAGGTCTGCTTTAGACGTGCAACCAACATCCTGGAATGTTGTCAGGGGTATGTCTTCATGTGCCTTCCATCCAACAAACCCCAAAGGTCACTTGTCTGCCTGGAACCCACCCTGCCAGTTCACCACTGCCACTGGGCGTCCGGACTGCGAGCTCACGCGGCCTGCACTGCGCATCGCCCTCGCGCGGTCGGGCGAGCTCCCGCGGTCCAGCACCAGCTCGGAGGCACCCCAGGCCGCCAGCTTCCGAGCGTTCAGCCGGCGTTCAGCCTTCCGGGTGGCCAAGACAAACCTGGGGCGGGCGAAGGGATATCCCATGAAGTAGATAGTGGAAATCCATGGACATCCCGATACGAAATGCGATGAACTGGTTTCTCCGTTTCTGTGGGATGTGTAGAAGTGGTTTCTGGTCAATTCCAAGGGATTGAAAGGGAAAGTCATCCATTCAGTGACCAGTCTGTAGCACTGCTCGTTGTTACTCAACTTGCCAGTAGGAAAAGTTGAAGTAGTTTTTCTTGGTCTCCCTATAGTTTGATGTAATTGCTCCAACTGAATGAAGTAAATATTTAAATAGGGGCAAACATAACAAGTGCAAAAATTTATTAGACCTCTGCCCAAGAAGTCAATTTGACTTGTTGCCGTTGAAGGTCCATCGTTCAGTTCGAAAAGTCACTCGGTCAGAGAGTCAGTCGATCTGCATTGACTGCAGAAGCCTCACTTCTTTGGGACCTTTAAGCCCTTGTTTTTGGGTACAAATCAATTTTTCCCTGGTGCTCTATACTAAAAACACATGTTTCCACCTGTGTTCATGTTGAGTGATCCCCCAAAAGCTTGAAGTTTATCCACACGTTCCTGGCTCGGCGGCTCGGCCATGCGTCTCGTGCAAGAACTCCGAACCCACCGGCGCCACAGCCGAGCAGCTCGTCGACCGCCACGCGGGGGTCTTTGTTGAGGTCATAGTGCTGGCGAGCCACAGTCCTATCACTTGGCGGATCGGATGGTCGGCTCGGCTCTTGGGTGTCAACGATGTCGGGTCGGATCTGCCAGGTCGTCCCCAGACCACCCACAAACGCGCGTGAGGCGGCTCATGGTTTGTTCCATGGAGGGGTTGCTGAGATCCTAAACCAATGCAATGCTTCTTTGGAGGAATCATCCATTTGCCGATGTGCTTCTGGTTGTGTGGATCTCCAGATTGGTATCATCAAAACAGTGTTGGGGTGTCCATTACATTGGCTATAGTGGATGATGATGCTTCGTAGGCCTGATTCCCAGTTCAGGCCTTCTACCAACATTTTGGCAAAACCAAGTGGTACCAGCAGCGGTGAGCCTTTGCAATGGCAATCTGGGCAGCACCCTCGACATGTTGGCTGTCTTTTACCCACATCAACCAACCCATGCTAAATGTCTGAACTAGACTCTTGCACTTATTTCTGTTGGCTTGCAATGGCTCTTTTCCAAATCGGACACCAAAGAGAGTACCCCTAAGCCATGCATTTATTATTCAGGAACCACATTACAATCCCAACGAATGCTTGTTCCTTCCCTTTTGAGACTTGGAACTGGCTTCATCCTCGACCGGATCAGTCATGGTGGTTCCAACACCGCCCCACAAAGCCCCACAATAGTGACATCGTCTCGTAGGAAAAACAACATGAACATAGAAACAAACACAAAACAAAAGAACGACAGGTATGGTGTTGTTTAATGCTATGTTAAAACAACAACGACAACCAAATAATGAAACAACAACAAAGACATAACACACATCACATAACACAAAGAAACTAATTTATAAATTCATATAATAAAAAATCTAAAAAACATTAATAGACTAAACATAACTAAACCCAAACACAAAGGCGTCCTCGGTTGACGTTCCACCCCGAGCAAGTCCACAAGGCCTTGGGCGTGTTTGATGGGTCAGAGATGGTCAGGATTGGATGCTGAAAAATGCACAATGAAACTTTAGATACTTCTCGTATGCATGATCTGTGTACACAGAAACTGAAGTTGAAAACCTCATCCCCTTCTGGGATTGTTCATGAATTATCCCAACCTTTTCGATCGTTGAAAGGGGGTCCTAGAATCTATATAACACCTGACAAAACAAACAAACAAACAAATCCTTTTGCAGTGCCTGGATCTAGAAATCTTCCGCAGGTCGACCACCAACACAAAAAAGAAACACGCGGGACGACGTCATAAAAGAAAGCTGGTGGAAAAGCACTTTGATGTAGTGAATAACCAGCCCCAAACATGCATTGTACAGCTTCTTCAGGCCGTTTGTCGGTTAAATTCATCCAAATTCTACATCATTCTAATGATTGGATCGGGATTTGGTTGGTCTTCGCTCCAAAACACCGCAAATTGGTAGAGATTCGTAGAACGGAGGCAGCTCCACCGAATCCTGAGTCCCGGGGACTATTGTGGACTTGTATGGAGATGTTGGAAGCCGTTGGAATCGGCCCCTGCATGGACTCCCCCTAAATCCTTGTAGGTCCGACCAAGGCTAGAGCCGCCGTGGCTGGGTCTGACCCAAACACTCCATGTATGGCACATGTATGGCATACATTGGGGTGGTCGATTTCGGGGGTCAATGTAGGCATAATATGGCACACTGCATACTCATATAATTTCTTCCATACAACATGGAGTGTCTGGGTTATGTACTTGGTCTCACTTGGACGAGAAAGCCCTGCCTCTCAAGTGGGAGCACCCCTAGTGCCCCTAGGAGACCTCTGCCTGTCCACCCAAGAGGCCCGCATTGATACGGGGTCAAAGGTTCAAATTGGAGAGCAACTAGCCCAACGACCCTCAACCAAACAAGCTGTAGAAAGCAAAGGAGAGAGGCTTGGTACTTCATCTTTGCATGTTAAAAGCAAGTAGTTCTTCTTTTTGAGCACCCTTTTGGACTCTGATCATCACATCTCCATCACCAAACCCCACTACTACCCTCCTCCAGGAGCCCCCAACGTTGGTCTTGCCCCCCCTGAAGCAGCAGGATAGAAACAACATGTTCTGCACGGAGGACTGGTTTAAGCTTCGGTCACGTTGGGATAGATGGGGTGCCTCAACTCATCCAAAGTCTGTTCCTGATTATACATGGGGATCTATCCAAAAGATTCCAAAAGGTTGTGCTCTGTTCTGTAGTCCGGGCCGGCTGCTTCCTGCTTCCTTCCAATGCCCAGACAGGCGCAAAGGACGAAGAATCAAAAAGAGATGAGTCCGGGAGTCCGGCCTGATCGATTTGCTAGTCTTCTCTCGGGGTCAACGTCTCCCGTCCAGTCCAGTCATGACTCATTTGACGTGCGCCGTGACGGCGTGGAGGCTTTAGTCGAAGCGCCGCGACGGTTCCGCGCCGTGACGGCTCGGAATGTGCTTGGACTCTGAAGGGCAACAGGGACTCGGAATGGAATGCTGGTCACCTCCCTAGGATGGCCCTTCCCAGTGATCCCGACTTCACGAGCCCATGGCCAAGGAGCTGAATTGAATGACTCTCTCTATTCGGTGAACCCCTTACGACATGCGGACATGCGCATCCTCATTCAACCCATGAGGTGGTACCTCTTCCAGGGTAAAGCTTTTCCGAACCTGCGATGGACGAGGACTCGGCCGTGGTCCACTCCATGGGACCCCGACTGCTCGGCAGGGACGTGTCATTGGCAGTCCCAAAACGTGTCGTGTCAGGGAATGGGTGACCTTCTGGGTGTTCAGTCGGGTGCAAATCCCACTGGCTCCCTCCGGAGCACCCGGCATGAGAGCATTTCAGGTGGCCCATGAGATTGAACATGATTGACTTCACCTTGGACATCGATAAGACTCAAGACTCAAGACTAATTGACCACGCTCCTCGCTGCTCGGACCCGTAGATGCTACACCGACCCAACGGTTGGCTCTCTACAAAAAACATCGAAACTTTGACCAAAGGATATGTAAAAACAAACAACATCAAACAACACCAGCACCAGCCCAGTTCGGGTGGTTGATAGACAACCCTAAGGGCCCTTGTATGTTCCTTCATGTTCCTTCCAATCACTACCCCGAATTGGGTGCTGGCAGCTGAAGTGTTCCATCTCTTGGGGTTCGGTTCCGCCCATCCCGCGGATCCTTCGGGCCGGGCCTGCAGCGATGCCATGAACTTCTCCAAGCTTTCCCTGCAGTGCAGAGCTGCAGTGCGCAGTGCGGAGCCGCGAGCGCAGTGCACACAGTTTTCAAGGTCAACTGCTATAGGGATGATATATGTTTGTTGGGTTAAAACGCGTGAATGTAACGTGTGGAGTTGTCCCACACACCAAGAAAAAAGGGACAATATGTTGGTCTTGATATAACAACTAGACTGACTACAAACGGTTTTGTTTTTAATCATACCATGATGATGGGGTCTTAATCGGTGATGTTGGCTCGTAACTTTAGTTGAACTTATGAGGTCTCTAGCCACAAAACACCCGACCAAAAGAGACAATGACATAGTAGGAGGTAAAACACATGTGTGATGTGTTCGTCTCCATCTTGTAACATGGCAAGGTTTCTTGTTTTTGCAGCTGAAGTGTTGTGGTGTCTCTTGACAATGAGGCAGTCAAATCACACTCAGAAAAATGCCAAGTGTTTCACCTGTGGATGGTTCCACACCGTTGGATACCCGACAGGAAGCGTTTGGTGGGTTTGGAGTTTGGTTACTTGATCATACATGGCATTGTAGCAATGGTCACTGACAATGGTTACTGTATGTTGCTGTAAGTTGTTTCAACCATCGACCCAGGCAGGGCACAATGCTATCCTTAGGTTAAAAAAAACACCTTTTTAGACAAATCTTTCACTATATACTTGTCAAGTAGTCAGGAGGTCATTCATATTACTGATTACTACCCCAAACATACCCCAACCGTCCTTGGGGTACTTTGGGGTCCCCAACCGTCGCTCGACATGTAACGTCGAGGAAAACTGGTCCAGCGCAGGGGGTCTTTCACGAAATCCAACTATGGAGAGGGTTCCATATCCCAAACATTCCCAGACCATGTATGGAATAGCTACCCACATTAGGGTCACAAATGGGGCACTGATGGCAATTATTCCAGTCCCATGGATGGCAGGCTCCGTTCGGCAACCAGGACGAGTGGAACGATTCTCGTTTGGATCAAAGACCCGAGCCGGGGACGCTAGGCAAACCGACCAACTGTCACGTGACGAATGTCCTTAATCTGTTATGTCGATTGGCACGAGTGATTGTATTTATCCAGTCTTCTCGAGACAGTTTGATTTAAAGTCAGGTCACAGTAACACGTGGTACCACGACACCCCAAGGTGTGATTGATAGCCGCTCAAAGGCTATAAAATGTGTATGAACCACCCCGACTGGGGGCCCCGGTATACATATCTTGTCCACCTGCGGGACACCTTCGACGTGCCCCATGATGCCTGAGGGTCTTCGGCCCTTCAAGCTGCAAACCTCAGACGAAAAACGACCGCCACGAGACAGTAAGAGTCGGTGCAAAAGACATGTGATCACCAATGGGTGCTCTTGTGAACAAGTGCTTATGGGTGGGGACACGTGTTAAAAGACTGTTACACTCTTGTGGGAATGAAAACAACAAATTCCGATCATGGTTTAGATGTTGTTATTTCAATCGGACAATTACAAAGAGTGTGACAGATCAAATCAATGCGCAGCGTGAAATGTTTGCTGTGTGTGACTGGTGTTGTGCAGTGAATGACTGGCAGTGCAGTTGGAAAGAACAGTGGAAAAATACACAAACAAACAAAACAGGGACCAGTTGAACAAATAAAGCAAACAAAATGTAAGCTAATAAACAAACAAAAAAACGTAACATTGACAATCATCAGGGATCCAAAAAGAAAATTGAAGGAACAATCAGATGAAAAAATATTAAAAACAATCAATTATTTCAAAACAAATGAAAACCATCGAGCAAGTAAAGAGTAGTTGAAAGGAACAATCACTTTCACTGTTCCAAAACAGAAAACATAACATTACAATCCATGAAAAATCGATCACGCAAAAAACACAACTAAAGCATTCACCAGTCTTCTCACGAATTTTGTGCTGTTGTTGATGCGAACACCTTTTTGGAGTTTATGTAGTTCGGATTTGTCAACCTGAATGGGGCAATGTGTACTCTGCTGATGACTGACAAAAATTTATTGATGTGTCAGTGTCCAGTGGACTTTCAGTTCCATGAACAAAACAAAGAAAAATGTAAAGACATTGACATAGCAAATATATATGACATACCGTTTGCTCATTCAAGCCTCATTAGGCACAGGAGTGCTTGCGTTGCCGAGGGCGCAAAACATGTGCCTCAGAGTGGCGCAGCTGAGATATTTTTGAGATTTGAAGCAATATTATGTTAAAACAACAAAGACCTGCAAAACATTCCTCGACTACACCATTGCGAACACCCCAACGACTGCACCAGACTACTGGCACTAGTGCTACTGCTACTACTCCTACTCCTAATCCTCTACTGCTACAACAACAACAACGACAACAACAACTACCACTACCAATACCACTACGACAACTACCACTGCTACTGCTACTGCTACTGCTACTGCACCTGCTACTACTACTACTACTTCTTACTACTTACTAATTGCTACTACTTACTACATACTAATACCTACTACTATCACTACTACGCGCACAACCACTACTTACTACTATTACTACTACCACTGCTGCTGCACTACCACTAGCACCGCTACCACTACCACTATACTACTACTGTACAGTTACATTTTCTACACAGCTACTATTATTAATTATCACTGCTGAACTCCTGCACCAGCTATTCTACTACTACCTGCTTGCACCACTGGTGCTGCTACCCAAAGCGCCACCTGCTCACCAGGTTGCAAAGTGCTGGCTGGTGGAGACACTGGCTGTGTCGGATATCATTTCCGTTTGCCAACTTCAAGAACTCGCTGTTGAATCTTCCTTGTTTGACCGCCGAATCGGGATGAGTCAAGAAATTCGCGGTGATGAGCCTAATCGCGTCCTGCCCTGCCAGAGAGCGACCGTTCTCGGTGGTCGGTGGAGAGCCAGTGTAGGATCAAGTAGGTATGCACGCGGTGGATGACGTCCGAGTGCATCCAAGATATCGAGAGCTCTGCGTAGCTGCGTGTTGGCGATGTTCATATGTGTGCGGTATTGCGCGGCGGCCAGTAGAGGGCGCATCAGGCCCTGTATGAGGAAGATTTGCTGCAGCCACGCGCTGCCGCCGCCCCTCGACAGGTATAATTCGCCTGGGGCCCCAGCTTGATAGGCCGGCGACTAGAGCCTCAGCCTCAATCTCCTCAGAAACGCCGGCATTCTCGAGAAGTTTCTTTTCTAAGGGGTGGCGCAGTGCATGGTTTCACGGTTCTAGTTTGTTCCACTTGTCATAGCTTGCAGTGTCCATGCAACACTGGCACACCAAACGAGGGTTCCAATATCAGTCCACACATCCAGCGCTCTGGCATTCTGGCAGTCGAATGTTGGATCTGACTCATGCACACCAGTGTCTTCCAAACTATAGTGGGAACGCCAGCGCCAACCTGTTTCAGAATGATGGTGGAGAGCGCCTGCACCATCATAACTTGCTGCATCGCCTGCCTTCGATCATGCGATGTCAGGTCTATCCACCGTTGCATCAGGACAAACAGCAAAAGTTCTTCCAAATGCGCGCCCTTCATGTCGCCACGATGAAGATGACTCAATGTCCAACGGAACCACTCAAGCTCGGGTACAAATGGCCAGTGGCCACTGTGCTGTTGTTTCTTTCCACCAGACTACTCACACTGATGCTGCTACTACTACTACTACTACTACCAATAATAATCCTAACTGCTAACTACTCTCTGGCCGTTACAAAGGCCTCCCCGGTTGTTGATATGTAGGCGTTGGGGTAATACCTCACGCCGATGCCAAGGATCATGTAGGAGCACCTCGCCCTGCCCAACGCGCGTGGTAGATGTCCTATCATGCCCGATAGAACTTTAGCATCCGCGCCCTTTTGTCGGATAGATGTCGATACGGTGGGCGGAAGAAATCCTGCGCCACTTTGATACAGCCCTCATCCAAAGCTGACAGACCAGCAGCCCCACACCCCTATTCAATGTTGTCATGTCATGCAGGATGGTGGTGCAGGATTTCCGTCAATGGCACCTTTGCAGCTTGTGATACCACAAGGAGGACTGTTAAAGAGGGAGCGCGAGGGTATAAAGAAAAATCTGTATGAAAGCGGTGCAGGATTTCTTCCGTCAACAGTAAGGCTTTTTGGGGTCAGTGTAGGTAGAATGCAGACGCACACTGGCACGGCTGACTTTTTCATTTTCAGCGTGTCAGGTACATTAAGCGCACGCAGTAGCATTAAGGCATTGCAATTACGACTGCGCGGCAAGACCGTGCTGCGAAACAAGCTCAGCTGAGCAAAGCATCGCTTGCATTCAGGAATGCGCTGACCATGCCCTTGATGTTGAAGAGGTTGGCGGAAGCCATACACTTTCAGGCGTCTCAGGAGTATCGTGTGCTCTCACGAACTTCCTCGCACGACGGCCACATGGGCCTTGTCCTGCGCTGGTGCCAAATCCTTCTCTTTGCAAGAGTCTTTGCAAGTTACAAAGACAGGGGCAGTCCCACGGTAGAGAATTTGTCCGCTGCATGTGGACAAGTTCTGCGGACGTGTGAGGGGAAAGGGCTTGCCTTCGTACCAGACCAGTTGCCTTGCCAAAGGCAGCACATCTGCATCAAAGCACCAACCATCCAGCAAAGCCACCTTCTTCTTCTCCAAGCCGAGGAGAGGGAAGTTTCCTGGCTGCGGGGTTGCCTGCACATTCTCGACACCAAAGATGGTCGTCGTTGTACGGTGTCGCCCACGCTCTTGCGTGGCACGGGCGCCTTTGCTTTCCCAGTTGCTCCTGAAGCTTCTTGTTCTCCACTTGCAACCGCAGCAGCTCTTGGATATCACATTCAGTCTAGCAGACTTCTTGACCATTAAGCCTCAGGGTCGGGCACGGCTGTGTTGCCATGGGTCGTGTGGGCCAAGCAGTTCACTTCCTGCCAGAAACACAAATTCATCCACGCAATGTTGTCATGCAGTTGTATAAAATGCTTCCTCATGAGCTGTGGCGCGCCTTCTTGCTCAGCTTGTTCAATACCCGTCTAGGGGCTAGGATATGCATTGTGATTTGCATCCGCGCCCGTGCAAGCCTGCTTGTTCACTACCCAACTATAAGGTCGCAGGGGCCATGGCATGCCATGGCTAGCCTGCATTGGAAGTAATGCGGTGAGGGCTCCTCCCCTGTGATCTCCACCAACCGGAGGGCTAGGAGTACAGGGTCGAAGGAGCCATGGCTGCCCTTCATTAGAAGTGACGATAAGGGCCCCTCCTCTGGGACCTCTGCCACCCGAAAGTTATCGCTCTTTGTTCACTATATCGTTTACCATTACGCCCTGAAAGCATCAGAAAGGATCCATGTGAAGCACCTGTCAAAAGGTTGTGGCCACTTTTTAACCTCTACCGCAGCCTCTTCAAATGTGGTAGCTGAGCACCTACGCGCAATAAGCCATTGATCTTCTCAGTCGCATAGACTTCTCTCACAAATCTCTTCACATCTGGGCCATCCACCCATTACAAAAAGCGCATTGCTGTTCAAAATGGCTATCACTGAGTGATCGTTTGGGTGCCGTTCAAGGCGTAGATACATCTTGGAAATATTGTTGGCATTGACATGCTTGCAAGGCCGGGAACATTACGATCATGTTCTATGATGTTCTAACAATGTTCTATGTAATGTACGTTACGAAAACTATTTTACGGAAAGCTTGAGAGATGGTCGGGGCGCAATGTTCGCATTGAAAACTTGTCAATGTTCGCATGCTGCACTGTCTGTTCTACAATTCCATGCACAGCGATGCTGTCGGGCATCGCATTATATCACATCACATCGCATGTGCTTATTCCAAGGTGTTCCTTTTTGGGAGTTCATAATATATCATTTTACAGGTCGCAAAGCACGTGTTCAGTCAATCCGTGCTCCAATACTACTCTGTTCGATGGATAATTTTGGCCTGTTGTTCATTTGGTATTTTAAAACATTTTTGTTGATTGGCATGCCCCATCTTTCGTCCTTGGCGTGCGAATTCAACCCTCTTCCGTTTCCCAAGGCGAGCGAGTTCCCCCCGCCACCACTCCTCGGGCCCCGGGCGGGGCGGAGTTTTGGCGCCGGACGGCCTCCAGGGATGGAGTAGCACATCAGGTGGTGTTTTCCACGACCCAAGGGATTGACCCTGGGGTCTTTGGCAATACACGAGCGTCCAGGCGCCCTCCTTTTTAGGCGCCGCACATGCCGCTACAATTTTGGGGGGTGCGCCCGGGCTCAGGTTTCGAGGGGCACCCAAATCAGTGCGATGAATTGCGATGATGTGAGATGTTTGGACTGGAGACCTGGAAACCAACCCGAATGCTCGCTGAGAATAACAATGATGTTCTGGGGTCGATTTGGTGATCCCCTCTATATAAAACGCGATCTATGCTCAAAACAAGGTGCAAATTCCTATGATCCAGAAGGTCCAGAAGACTGTCAAGGTTCCTCAAGTTCAGTATGAAGACCATGTTTCATAATGTTTCATAGCTTCCAAAGGAATTCACGTCCACGTGTTTGCTCAAAATAAGAACCCACATAACCCCGTGAGCCGCAATTGAGTGTGAGGAGTGCAGTGAGGCGTGATCAGTTGTTGACACCTTAAGGATCATCAAAATGCGATCCCCCAAAACAACACATATGGGATCTGAGGTGCATTTGCCAGATTTTTTTGGAACAATTGGAATCTCTCAGACCTGCAGTATCCACTCGCATCCACTCAGTCTAGACTCTCCTGCCTGCGCTTCAAGCAAGGTGCCTAGAAGGAGGATGTCTCGGAGGACCCCGCGGCGAGCGTGAGAGGCCGGGACTGCAGGGACTGGAGTTGCTCTTGTCATCTGGTTGTTGCTGAAGGTCTTCAGATCCTGGAAGCGTGTTCTTCTATATGTTCGTGTAACTATGATTTTGAGAAGCCTATAGCGAACCTATATACTGAACCTATTGAACCTGGTCTGAACAGTTCCGCTTTCTCCACAAGAGCTGTGGTTTTCATCGTGACATTTCACAGATGCTCACAGGCTGAAAATACCAAAAACCAAGTCATGGGCATTCAAAAGTCTGAATTTTGTCTCAAAAGAGCGGACTTGAATAACTCCAGTGGGATTAGACTCATGTCCAGAATTAAACTAACGTTTTACTTTGCCCATCTAGCTGCCTATCCCTCAAATTGAAAGTAATTAGATGCTTATGGTCCGGTCGCGGTTTGCTGCAGCCTTCCAAAAACCTTTGAAGAGCTTCACATCCTGAGGGTATAGTATAGAAGCTCACCCCATACTAAAGGGCCCACCTTCTGACCCCCACCGACCTCACCTCGCCTCGCTCCCATGTCCGGGCAGCCCGGACGGGATCCCGGCTCGCGAGCGGTCCGCGGTCTCGCACGGCGAGCTGGTGGAAGTTCTCTCGCACGAAGTCAGCGCCCAGCGCGTCGCGGATCCAGGGGAGGAGCTCCTCACGAGTCGGGCGGCCGTCGCGAGGAAAGCGCGCGGGCGAAGGACGGGTCATGGAGATTGGCGGACGGTGATGGAGATGTGGAGCTCCAAGTACAGGCACTTTCGAAAGAAATGGATGGATCATCAATGGGTGTATTTCAAATCTCTCCAAACCGGAGTGAGGGCGAGAAACAGCGGGTTTCTGTGCGAGGGTCTGGACCTGAAGGTCCGCAGCATGTTTTTTGGCCCAACCCTTAAGAAGAGACCAGTTGGAGGGTCCGAGTCTACTTCATCCAACATATCATCGACTTCTTTCTGGTGAGGACATCCAAGGAAAGTGACTTCCATTACAGACCTTCCAACAAATGGCTTTCGGACACCCCTTGATTAACCTCTATAGTATCATATAGATCAAGGCCATTGATTGGACACCCCTTGGCTCCATGGACTCCATGGTACTTTAGGATCCCCCAAGATCGCAGCAGGCTCTCCAAGTACACCATCGCCGCCTCGCCCAGTACTCCGCGGTTCGTCGCCCTCCTCCAAGCTGGGCACGTCCTTCGTCTCCACCCACGACGACCCCGTCGTCGGCCGCAGCCGCGACGCTGGGCCCAGCGCTTCCGGCCAAGTTTGGAGCAGCTCCTCCCAAGCCTCCGAACCGGAGGACCGGAGGAGGGGGAGGGGCGACCGGAGGGCGACTCTCCTGTGTTGGTGAGACTCTCCATGTCACATGTGTTAAACAATGTTAAATAAACATGTTCAACTCAGGAAACAAACGAAGTCATGCGAGGAAACAACTCTCCGTTAAGTCGTGTTGCGATGTCAATGTGCTGGAGTATTGGTAAAAATCCAAAAACATCCAAAAACCAAGTAGGTTGAAATGACAGATCCAGATATCTCTTATGTATATCTCTCCCAACCAACCCCCTTGATGCCCTCGCAGTTTTGTTCATACCACAAGCATCCACAAACTGTCACGAGGTGAATGTCCTGGGCTGCATGTGGGACAATCAGTCATCAACTGTTTCCTAAATACAACAGAATCCCATGAATTGCATTGAATTCAGTTGAAAAACAACATCATGATAGCTAGAACAATGTCATCAAATTCAACTTTCCCCGTTGTTGGCCTGGAAATGACCAACTAATGAAACAAAGGCATCTCGTGTGAACATCCGCAGGAGAAATGCACTCTATATATATATAACACTGTTTTTGAATTTACAGGCCAACAGCCTACAAGTACCAACATGTAGAGCGCCCTTTTCTTGAGCCAAACATAGAGGTCAATATGGTATGTACAGGTGTACAATCGTGCAAATACACCCCCCGCTGAACGCACTTGGCAGCAAAGGTAGTGAAGGACACTATACACGACTATGTACACGGGACAACGTGCATACCGATCTGACCTCCGGTTCCCCGGTGTTTCCTTTCATGGTTAACACCGTACGTGCCTGCGGCTTTCATAGATTCTTTGCCGACCTGAGGCGCGAGGGAACGACGATTAACTCGATTGGTTATGAAGTAAAAATGCCGAACGGACGAATTGCAGTCGGACGCAGCTCTTTTCACATGCATCCGCAGATCGTCAAACTGGAAATGGGCCTTTTACGTAGGCACACGTTTCCACGCGGCGTAATTAGTGATGCTTCCGTTTCAGGAAGAGTGCACTTCGGCTAAATCGAATTTAAGCCTTGCAAAGAATGCGGACCGCCTCAAAGAAGATGACGTGAGGCAACTGCTTCCGCAGCGCGTGCAAGGACTTCCGCGAGCATTTCGATGCCTAGAAAGACAATGCGCTACCACAAGCACTAGATGAAAAGAAAAGCACAACTGTCATGAGGCATCGGCTCCCGCCGTGCATAGGTGGGGTTTATCGGCCGCGACCCCACCAGTCCGCTCCATAGTTATCTTGGTACCAGGTCCAATCCGCATAGTGCCAACCTGGGATGGTACCAACGTCGTCATCGAGGTCCCTCCAGTCACGGGCCCATCGATTCCTTGGGTAAGGTGCATTCTCACGGGCCTGTCGACCTCCGTGGCGCCATGTGCCCTTACCTTTCCCTTTCGCTCGATCGACACCCTCTCTTTCCGGAACATGGATGTTCCTTGGGTCTGCTCGCACGAGGTTCTCGTAGGACGGGATGCTCTGGAGGTCGGATGACAGCCATCCAACAAACTCCGTTTTCAGCTTCTCTACGTCCTTCTCTTCCGAGAGGAATGAGCCAGAGAACCCCAAGACTTCGAAGCGGTGGTGTTCCATTGCGTACAGTCCAACAAAGACACCAGGGCATAGGATCTTGTTCTTCCAGAAAACAAAGACCTCGTTCGACACATCGACCTCGCGCTGTGATGTGTCGGGGATCATCAAGATCTTCGCTTTCACATTGACGCCTACCCCTTCTTGGATTTGTTGGGCGGTGCGCGTCGGAATGGGCAATACCGCTGAACTGAGTCGTTGCAAAAACTTCAAACAGTCAGGGGACATGTCCTGCGCCGCGCAGTTGAACGCGTAGAATGGATCCAAGCACAACCGCTCTGTGAGCGAGCCAAATTCCAATTTGGACGCTTTGTCCATGTGCGACTTGGCGTGTGCTCGGATTGTCGCGATGGCAGATTGTCCAGTCCTGATCCTACCACCTGCAGGATTCCTCAGCCCACGGTCCCCCCGGGCACGAATATCGTCATCCGGGAACATGTCCAACGACAAGTCGAAACCGAAGCTTGCGGCTAAGTTTTCAAGACGGACAAGCAGCGATGCCTTTCTCATATCCGTTGCAACACGTGCCAGTCGTCCACAGTTCAAGCACGACAAACATCCGAATGGTGAATCGGATCCGCAGTATGCAATGCTGTGGCTCAACGTCGTGCTGGCGAACGGTGATCCACCGTGAAGTGAAGAACCTTTCGTTTCCCCGAGGATCATAGCGCATCTCCATTTCAGGGGTCCAATGCGCCCAATCAACCGATCCCAGCGAGAGAGGCCATGCCGAGTTGTTGGGGGCATCGCCTTCCGGCTGCCATGCAATTGCCATGTACGGAGTTGAGTACGTTCCGATATTGGCATCTGCATGCTCGAGCTGATCCTTGCAGAACTCACGGTTGTACGATTCGAGGATGAAGGCATTTTCCACCCAGGCCCCATGCACCCATTTCTCATACTTTCCGAACAGGTCCCACCTTGACCTTGCCAGCAGTGACTGCCTCCTTGCGTTGTCATCTGCCTCATCACCACGGTCAAGCCGTTCCCGGCGACGCACGACAATGTCTCGGAGATCCTGATTGAATGAGGCTCTCTCTTTTGCATAGTCGTGGTTCGCATAGATGAAGCACTTTGCTGACACGTCATACGCATAGATGAGGAACTCACTGGTTCGGCACCCAATCAGTGGTCACAACGGCTTGGCTTTGAGTGACGGCGAACCTAATTCCATATGACACCGCCATCTCAACATCAACTGCGACCGCAACTGGTCTGGTCGAGGCCATTCCTGCTTGACTCGTCTTCTGAATGCTCCACGGATCGAAAGCCGAGAAGTACGAATGAGCCTTGCTAGTTCTGAGTCCCCCCGGACAAATGCCACATCGGATCACATCATCCAAGAAGGCGATATGAGTGTAGTGGTACAAGATCTTGGGGTGAATATCCTTGATGTGCAAGTCAAGTCGTACTGGAAGCGTAGGACGCTCCCGTCGCAGCAGGCGTTCGATCGTGAACGACGGATCAAGACAGATGATTCTGTCGACCTCGGGCCACGCCATGTTGATGTTCTCCAGAATCCAGTCGTTGTGAGATTGGATTGCCTTGATTCGCACCGGCAGGAAGAGATACTTCTCGGCGAAGAGTTCCCCCTCGCGGGCAAGCTGCACATCGAGCATAAACCTATGGTTTGATGTCACGATGTCAATCAAGTCCGACACAGTGAGGGAGCGGGAGTACCTCCTCTTGATGAATGAGAACACCGATGCAAAATCCATCCATGCTCCATCTTGGAAGTCCGGAAGCGGAATGCGATCTCGTCGATTGGCATGGTTATGCCCTCGCAGCAGGCCGGAGACACGCTTTGAAACTGTGGATCGAACATTCCACTCCGAATTTCGCCAGGTGCACAAATCAGAAGTGTACCTCTTGACCCTGTCTGGGTTTTGGCTCAAGAAAAAAGGTCCGACGGGCTGGACCGACTGATCTCGTAACCACAGGTTATGAGCCCAAGGTAACCTTCTTTTTCATTTTCGAAGTCCACCTCCGACTGTTTCGTGGACAGCGGAGTGTTGGTTCCCATGGAGCAGCGCCGACGGAGGCAGCAGCGGTCGCGAGAGCGCAAGGCCGCGGAGCCGCTGGAGGTGGGCGGAGCAGACCGCCGGCTGGACGCCTTGATCGAGGAGGAGATGAAGGCTACGGCGGCGAGAGCGCAATCAGTGCCTGTGAGGGCTGCTGAGGTGAAGCGGTTAGGGGTGGCTGCTGGCGTGGGCGGTGACCATGGAGGTCAGGCGGCCGCGACGGCATCGAGTGGCCACCCAGGACCACCGGAAGTTCGACAGCTGTTGAATGACCCAAGAGGCCAGGTGATGGGGCTTGGGCATTTGCAGGAGGCAGTTCGGCAGTCATTTGAAGTGTTGCAACATGCTCTTCAAAGGCCAAGCTCCCAACCTACCCTACTAGATCCTCTTCTTCGGCCCGGTGATCATGGAGGTCATGCTGGTACCGGATACGGAGTTCTCTCAGGGCACGGGCTGGCGGCTGGTACTCCCTTGCGGCAGAGCGGGGTGGAAATGGAGCGCAGTGGGGCATCACCTTATATGGCTGGAGCAGGACGTGATGAGGTACACCCTCGGGTGCTGGAGCCCTATCCTACCACACCGGTGGGACCTTTGGGGACGGTGAATCCTTTCTGGAGTGCTTCAGTGCAGCAAGCGGCCAAGGGTGAGTCACACGTGCGTGAGTCCGAGGTGACGAGAAGCCAACCTCCTGTGCCGAGTCCGGGCCTGGGACAAGTGGAACGTCTTCGAGAACGCATCTTGAGGGAGGCCGAGGAGACCTTTGCTCGGGAGGTGAAGAAGATGACGGACGCTGGGGATTCAGCATCGTTCACGTCGGTGCCGAGTGCGAAGGCGGAAGGACCTCAAGAGCCGATGGGAGAGAATGCTAAGCCTGGTGGAGCACCTGATACTCCTCCTGGTCTTGCTCCAGTACACGATCTTCGAGGTCATGGAAATGGATCGAATGGGGCGGTGAATGGGATGAAGCCGATGGAATCGGTGACAGCGGCCCTACCTGAGGCAATGCGGAATTTGGAATTGCCACAGTTGCCATCACCTTCGACTGAGAATGCGGCCCTGCTCTTTGGGGACTGGCTGACGGTGATTTCCCCGTTGATGGGAGACCTCAGTACGTCGTCTCGCGAGTTTTGGGATTGGGTGCAGCGAGAAGTGGAGGTGAAGTACAATGAGTGGCTCTTGGCGACGCCATTGGGGCGGTTGAGAATCAAGGTGGAGGAGCAGGTGTCCCCACGGTTCCAACGATTGGATCAGCGGGCGAGCTCGACTTTGCTAGCCGCGCTCCCGGAACCGGTGAGAAAGGACATTGTGGCAAGTCGAAGAGTGGCGACTCAGGCGATTTTGTACAAGCTCTTCACCATCTACCAACC